AGTTGACACGTGACTTTTGGCGAAACGCTCGTTTTGGAGACTTGACGCGTGACTTTAGGAGGAAGTCTCGTACGAAACGCTCGTCTTGCAGCCTCGAAGCGTGACGTTTGGAGGAAATCTCGTAGGAAACGCTCGCGTGACTGCTTCTAGTGCGTGGGCAGACCGTGTCGCGACACGAGTGTCCCACAAGAGTGTCCCACAAGAGTGTTCCACAAGAGTGTCCTGTCCCACAAGAGTGTCTCACAAGAGTGTCCCTTAAGAGTGTCCCACAAGAGTGTCCTATAAGAGTGCCCCACAAGAGTGTCCTACAAGAGTGTCCCACAAGAGTTTCCTACAAGAGTGTCACACAAGAGTGTCCCACAAGAGTGTCCCACAAGAGTGTCCTACAAGAGTGTCCTACAAGAGTGTCCTGTAAGAGTGACCCACAAGAGTGTCCTACAAGAGTGTGTCACAAGACTGTCCCACAAGAATGTCCGACAAGAGTGTCCCATAAGAGTGACCCACAAGAGTGCTTTTGAGAGTGTCCCACAAAGAGTGTCCTACAAGAGTGTCGTGTAAGAGTGACCCACAAGAGTGTCCTACAAGAGTGTCTCGCAAGAGAGTGTCCCATAAGAGTGACACACAAGAGTGCCCCACAAGAGTGTCCCACAAGAGTGTCCCACTAGAGTGCCCCGTAAGAGTGGCCCACAAGAGTGTCCTACAAGAGCGTCCCACAAGAGTGTTCCACAAGAGTGTCCCGCAAGAGTGTCCTACAAGAGTGTCCCAAAACAGTCCCCCCCCAAGAGTTTCCTACAAGGGTGTCCTACAAGAGTGTCCCACAAGAGTGTCCCAGAAGAGTGTCCCGCAAGAGTGTCCTACAAGAGTGTCCCGAAACAGTGCCCCGCAAGAGTTTCCTACAAGAGTGACCCACAAGAGTCCTACAAGATTGTCCCACAAGAGTTTTCCACAACAGTGGCCTATATGAGTGTCCCACAAGAGTGTCCTAGAAGAGTGTCCCACAAGAGTTTCCTACAAGAGTGACCCACCAGAGTGTCCTATAAGAGTGCCCCACAAGAGTGTCTTACAAGAGTGTCCCACAAGAGTTTCCTACAAGAGTGTCCTATAACAGTGTCCCACAAGAGTGTCCCACAAGAGTGTCTCACAAGAGTGTCCCACAAGAGTGCCCTACAAGAGTGTCTCACAAGAGTGTCCTAC